AAGCCCTGTTCTATCCCTTGCCATTCTTATTGTCTCTGACACACCTATCCCCTTTACCCCAGTGACTAATCAATCCATCTTATCAAGGGTCTTCCTCTCCTGTGCTGTCCTTCCACCCTCCCAAGCATGACATCCCTCTCCAAGGACTGATCTTGCCTTGCAAAAAAGACTGGAACAGCACATCAGCAGAGAACTGCCAGAAGTCCAGGCTGGATTTAGAAAAGGCCATGGCACTAGGGATATTAAAGCTAATGTCAGATAGATCTTGGCTGAAAGCAGACAGTAGCAGAGGAATATCTATCTGTGTTTCATTGATTATGCAAAGGCTTTTGACTGTGGATCACAACAAACTGTGGCTGACTCTGAGAAGAATGGGAATCGCTGAACACCTAATTGTACTTATGCGAAACCTGTACCTCAACCAGGAGGCATTTGTTAGAACAGAGCAAGGAAACACTGCATTGTTTAAAATTGGGAAGAGTGTGAGTCAAGGGTCATCATATTTTTTTCAATCTATATGCAGAACAGATTGTCCGGGAGGCTAGGATCTATGAAGAAAAATATGGCATCAGAATTGGAGGTAGACTCATCAACAATCTGTGTTATGGAGATGACACACCATGCTTGCTGAAACTGAGGAGGACCTGAAGAGCTTGCTAAGAAGGTCAAGGAATGCAGCCTTCAATATGGATTGAAGCTCAACATAAAGAAAACAAAGATTCTCACTACTCAGCTGATTGGCAGCATCATGATAGATAATGAAGAGATAGATTATTCACAGGCTCAGTTTGCTTGGCTCTACAATCAACACTCTGGATACCAGCAACCAGGAATTCAAAAGATAAATTGCACTGGGAAAATCTGCTGTCAGATACCTCTCCAAAGTACTGAAGAGCAATGATGTCAGTATGGAGATTAAAGTGCACCTGATACAGGCTGTGGTCTTTGCAATTACTTGCATCAGAGACTTGGACAATGACTAAGGAGGATAGAAGGAGAATTGATGCCTTTGAGCATTGGTGCTGGAGAAGAGTATCATGGACTGCTGGGAGAACAAACAAATTCGTCCTGGAGAAGGTGAAGCCAGGCTGCTCCTTGGAGGCAAGGATTCTGAAGCTAAATCTGACATCTTCTGACATTATTATACTGTTGTTGTTGTTGTGTGCCATCGAGCCGCTTGCGACTCATAGTGACCTTATGTAAAACAGCCCTAAACCCTGCTCTATCCTGTGCCATTCGCACTGCCTCTGACACACCCATCCTGATTACCCCAGTCAACTGAATCAATCCACATCATAGAGTGTCTTCCCCTCTTGCGCCATCCCTCCACCCTCCCAAGCATGATGTCCCTCTCCAAGGACCTGTCCCTCCTTACAACATGTCCAGAGTATGTCAGACGAAGCCCCAGAGTCCTTGCCTAAAAGAACCAGCCTGGTTTAACCCTCTCCAGGTTGAATCTGTTTGTTTTCTTCACAGTCCACGGTATATTCAGTACTCTTCTCCAGCACCACAGCTCAAAGGCATCAAGTCTCCTTCTATCCTCCCCAGTCATTGCCCAACTCTCTATTGCATAATAAGTGATTGCAAAGACCATAGCCTGTATCAGACACACCTTAGTCTCCAGAGTGATATCATTGCTCTTCAGTATCCTAGAGAGGTCCCTGACAGCAGACTTTCCCATCGCAATACATATTTTATTTCCTGGCTATTGGTGCCAAGAGTGTTGACTGTGGAGCCAAGCAGACTAAAGTTGTTAACAATCTCTTCACCATCCATCCTGATGCTGACAATTGGTCCAGTGGTGAGAATCTTTGTCTTCTTGACATTCACCCTCAATCCATATTGAAGGCTGCAGTCCTTGACCCTCTGCAGCAAGCATATCAGGTCCTCTTCAGTTTCAGCAAGCAGGGTTGTGCCATCTGCATAATGCAGATTGTTAATAGATCTTCCACCAATCCTGATGCCACACTTCTCCTCATAAAGCCCAGCCTCTCGAATAATCTGTTCTGTATACAGGTATGGAGATAGGACACATCCCTGGCATACACCTTTCCCAGTTTTGAACCATGCAGTGTTTTCTTGCTCTGTTCTGACGACTGCCTCTTGTATAGGTTCCTCATTAGCACCATCAAGTGTTCTGGGATTCCCATTCTTCTCAGAGTCAGCCACAGTGTGTTATGATCCACACAGTCAAATGCCTTTACATAATCAATGAAACACAGATAGACATTCTTCTGATATTCCCTGCTTTCAGCTAAGATCCATCTAACATTAGCTATAATACCCTAGTATCACGACCCCTTCTAAACCCAGCCTGGACTTCTGGCAGTTCTCTGCTGATGTACTCTTCCAGTCATTTTTGGATAAACTTCAGTAGAACCTTGCTTGCATGTGAAATCAATGATACTGTTCCATAGTTTCCACACTCTGTTGGGTCACCCTTCTTTGGAATGGGAACAAATATAGATCTCTTCCAGTCAGTTGGCCAAGTGGTTGTTCTCCAGATTTCTTGGCACAACTTGGTGAGCACATCCAGGGAAGCATCTATGAGCTAAAATATGTCAATTGGTATACCATCTATTCCTGGGGCCTTATTTTTTGCTATTTCCTTCAAAGTAGCTTGAACTTCTTCCTTCATCACCATAGGCTCCTTCTCATGTTATTTCATGAAATTTTGTGTCTGCCAGTTCCTTTTGATACAGTGACTCAATATATTATTTCCATCTTCTTTTAACACTTCCTGGATCATTTAATATTCTTCTAAAACATCCTTGATTATAGCAACTCGAGGTTTGGATTTGTTCTTAAGTTCCTTGAGCTTAAGAAATGTGCAAGTTCGGCCCTTTTGATTTTCTGACTCCAGCTCCTTGCACATTTTGTTGTAATATTTTGCTTTGTCATCCCTTGCTGCCCTTTGGTATCTTCTCTTCAGCTCTTTAGTGTCTTCAATTCTTCCTTGTGCTTTGGCTTATTATACTAATTTATTTAAAATTTGAATATATCATTTTTCACATCAGTTTCTTCCCATTTACCTCATCCCCCTATTAAATTGTGTGACCTCATGATTAATTCCCCGCCCCCCACACACACATCCTTACCTCTTTGCTTCTACCCTTTCTCCCCCCTCTTGGATCATCATACGTATTATGCAATAATGATTTTATACAGTATTTGTTCTTATGGGACTAAGTTCACTCATCATAATGCTCACCAGTCCCTCTCAAGTTAAGTAATGTTGTTGTTGTTGTTGTTGTTATGTGTCATCGAGTCACCTGTGACTCATAACGACCTTATGTACAACAGCCTTAAACCCTCTATCCTGTGCCAGTTTCACTGTCTCTGACACATCTACCCTGATTACCCTAGTCACTGAATCAACCCACCTCATAGAGGGTCTTCCTCTCCTACACTGTCCCTCCACTCTCCCAATTATGACGTTCTTCTCCAAAGACTTAAAAGATGTCCAGAGTATGTCAGATGAAGCCTCAGAATCTTTGCATCCAAGGAGCATCCTGGTTTAGCCCTCTCTAGGATAGACCTGTTCGTTTTCTTAGCAGTCCATGGTATAGTCAACACTCTTCAACACCACAGCTCAAACACATCAATTTTCCTCTATTCTCCCTAGCCATTGTCCAGCTCTCTGATACATAACAAGTGATTGCAAAGACCATGGCATGTATTAGGTGAACCTAAGTCTCCAGAGTGACACTATTGCTCTTTAGTACTTTGGAGAGGTCCCTAGCAGCAGACTTTCCCATTGCAATATGTCTTTTCATTTCCTGGCTGCTGATGCCAGGAGTGTTGACTGTGAAGCCAAGCAAACTAAAGCTGTGAACAATCTCAATCTCTTCACCATCCATCCTGAGGCTGCCAATTAGCCCAATGGTGAGAATCTTTGTTTTCTTGATGTTGAGCCTTAATCCATATTGAAGGCTGCAATTCTTGACCTTCTACAGCAAGCGCTTCAGGTCCTCCTCAGTTTCAGCAAGCAAGATTGTGTCATCTTTGTAAGGCAGATTGCTGATGAATCTTTCTCCAATTCTGATGCCACATTCCTCCTCATAATTGATATCTGTAATATTATTATACATATCAATGATACTATTTCTGTTTTCTTTATAAATTGAAAAAGTAACAGTCACAATCATCCAAATTTCTTAAAGCCAAGCAACCCTTACAATTTGCTGCCTCCCTTCAGTCATCTTTTTTCCAGTGCATTTTTCATGTGAATACACTATCAGGCCTATCACCTGTCACCTTTTGTCATGAGACAATCAATTAGGTAGCCTTCTCCATCAGCACTCTTCTTTTTTGTTGTTAAAAATCCTAGTATGGCATAATCCTAGTCTCACTGCAAGTTTTTCTATGTAAGTTTTTTTTTAGTTGGTGTAGAATTTTGGAGCTGAGATTGATCTCAGCACTGGCTCAGTTCTAATCGCTTCTCTGAATGGAGAATCTTGCCTCATAGATTCAGGACTTCACCCCAGATCTGCTTGTCATGTCCTTATGACAAGGCTCCCTTATAAGAAAAGTCTCTCCTCAGTGTCTTCCTTCTTGTTTATACTGTACACATAGACTACACAACTCACTACTGGGTTTTACATGGTCTGATTCCTTGACTGTCTTTATAAATTTAATCTTTATCTACATGACAAGAGATAAAGTCTTCAGTGGCAAAGATGTGTAACATAATGTCTCTTCCAGCCCTCACTACCATTAGGATACTGTATGATGTGTTTTCTTCGCTACATCCAAGGAGCATTTTGTGTGCTTGTCAGTTCTGAAGGTACATATGGGACAACTTAAATATGGGGCATCGGGGGGAGATCCTCTATTTCTGGTGTGCTGCAATATTGCTCAACCATGAGTCACTTTTCTTTGAAGGACTCTGTTTAATCTATAATCATTTGTGTTCAGAGAAAGGAATAAAACAGCATGATAGTATATTTTTGGGGTGTTTGGGGTGACTTTTTATTTTCTCCTTTTTTCCTTATTCAGTTTATTTTTTTTTTCTCCTGTCAGGATTCCCTCTACTGAACCTCATTCCATGTCATTTTGAGTTTGGCCTAATTGAAGACTTAGGTTATGAAGTCGCTTCTCGATGGCCTCGCAGACACCACCTTCCGCACCATCACCACAGACCTCCTCTATGTGGGCTCCAATGACATTCAATACGAAGATATCAAAGGCGACATGGCATCCAAATTAGGGTACTTCCCACAGAAATTTCCTTTAACTTCCTTTAGGGGAAGTCCCTTCCAAGAGAAGATGACTGCAGGAGACAGCCCTCAGCTGGTCCCAGCAGATCAGACAAACATGACAGAATTTTACAACAAGTCTCTTTCCTCTTTCAAGGAGAATGAGGAGAACATTCAGTGTGGGGAGAACTTCATGGACATGGAGTGTTTCATGATTCTGAACCCCAGCCAGCAGCTGGCCATTGCTGTGCTGTCCCTCACCCTAGGCACCTTTACGGTTTTGGAGAACCTGCTGGTGCTGTGTGTCATCCTGCACTCTCGAAGCCTCCGCTGCAGACCTTCCTACCACTTCATTGGCAGCCTGGCGGTGGCAGACCTCCTGGGCAGTGTCATTTTCGTCTATAGCTTCGTTGACTTCCACGTCTTCCACCGCAAAGATAGTCCTAATGTGTTTCTATTCAAGCTGGGTGGGGTCACGGCCTCCTTCACTGCCTCTGTGGGCAGCCTCTTTCTCACAGCTATCGACAGGTACATATCTATCCACAGACCCCTGGCCTACAAGAGGATCGTCACCAGGCCGAAGGCTGTGGTGGCCTTCTGCCTGATGTGGACCATCGCGATTGTCATTGCTGTACTGCCTCTCCTGGGTTGGAACTGCAAGAAACTGCAGTCAGTTTGCTCAGACATTTTCCCACTCATTGATGAGACCTACTTAATGTTCTGGATTGGGGTCACCAGTGTCCTGTTGCTCTTCATTGTGTATGCGTACATGTACATTCTCTGGAAGGCTCACAGCCACGCAGTCCGCATGATACAGCGTGGCACTCAGAAGAGCATCATCATCCACACATCAGAGGATGGAAAAGTCCAGGTAACTCGGCCAGACCAGGCCCGCATGGACATTAGGCTGGCCAAGACCCTGGTCCTCATTCTGGTAGTTTTGATCATCTGCTGGGGCCCTCTGCTTGCAATCATGGTGTATGATGTCTTTGGGAAGATGAACAAGCTCATTAAGACGGTGTTTGCATTCTGCAGCATGCTCTGCCTGCTGAATTCCACCGTGAACCCCATCATCTATGCTCTAAGGAGCAAGGACCTGAGACACGCTTTCCGGAGCATGTTCCCCTCTTGCGATGGCACTGCACAGCCTCTGGATAACAGCATGGGGGACTCGGACTGCCTGCACAAGCACGCCAACAATGCCAGTGTTCACAGGGCTGCAGAGAGCTGCATCAAGAGCACAGTCAAGATTGCGAAGGTGACCATGTCTGTGTCCACAGACACGTCTGCTGAGGCTCTCTGAGCCTCATACAGGAAACAAAAATCCTTCTTTTTATGTTTTAAAAAAAAAGCTCAGAATCTAGAGGAGTCTGTCACCTCGTCAGTTACAGTTTTAAGTTTACCATGATCAGTGAAAAGGTGATCGTCACCATAATAACTTTTTAATTTTCTGATGTTTCAACAGTTTAGATACAGTTTTCCTGAGATTTTCAAAGAAGCCTGCTATTTCAGTGACTGAAAAGTCTTTCAGAATCTCAATTAAGAAGGAACTTTGCAGAGCTAACAAATGAGTAATACCTTTGTGACCGTGATCTTCATTGTAATGTGAAATGTATTGGTCTATATATAAGTATCATAGATGTCCGTTTTTACAACAGTTGCTGTAAAGTAGAGGTATTTGTAAAATGTGTGTATCTGTGAGATGTGTAGAATTAATTTTTTATCTTTGTCTAGTTCAGAAAAAACCTAAAAGAGAAACTTTTATGAGAACAATGGAAAACAATTAGTGAATATGCCAATGAGACCACTTTTTAAAAATTTTTCATGGTATAGTTTTAGATACTTTAGTAATTATTGAGAAATCTCTGTTTAAATTGACATTGAAACTCCATCAAGATTTATTTTCCTGTTAACACAATAATTTGAAGATGATCCAAAATCAAGTATTCCACTTAATCCATTTATACATAAAATTGTCATAGGAAAACATTTATTATTTTCTGGACTATAGCTGTTATATTGGACAGTGGATTATAGTCAAACATAAGAGAAAAAGTATGTTGACTTTCTTGGCTAAGATCTCCGACTCTCTTTAGTCTCTAGCTATTACTGTACCTCTTGTGCAGCATGTGTCAGTCTTAACGTGTGTTGTTATCACTGTGCAGTTATTGTTTACTTGGAGAGCATTTGCATTCTTATATTCCAGGGGTAAGTAGATTTCATGCTTGGATGGCCAAACAATAGTCTTCATTTTTTTAATTGAAAAAAATTGTCTTTATCACTACATTTATGCTGTGTGTGAATATAAATGTGTGTGTGTGTGTGTGTGTGTGTGTGTGTGTGTGTTACTATCGTGTAACTGTTAAGGTAATATTATAAAGTGATAAAATGTGACCAAGTGTAAACTGTACCACTTACACATAGATTTAGTTTCTAAACTTGAGTTCTTCCAGAAATCTTGTTAAATAAATCCTGACTATGATTCTGAATGTTGAGAAACACCTCCCCACCCTGTGCAGTTGGCCTTAAGAGAGTGGGTCAAGTATTATCAAATTAACCTTTAGGTGTTACAAAAGACCAGTGTTTAGCAAGAAATAATCAATGATAAACATTCAAGGGAGGGCTTATATTTACTATATAATGTCAGGAAATCAAAATGTTTTGGCTTCTAAGCACTTAATATTGATCAAATTCCTAAAGCTGGAAGTCACTAAAAGGGAATAGCTCTTTTTCAAAATCTCCCATACTATAAAATGTATCAGTTGTGCATTTGGTTAGTGTGATCCCAAATTAAGTAGAGCATTGCATTCTTACATTCCAGGCATGATTTCATGGCTGGATGGACATGTCATATTTTTTTTTAAATTGGAAAGTATTGTCCTAAATCAAACAGATGGATACTAGAGAGCTCCTGGGTGATGCAACCAGTTAAGTACACAGCTATTAGACTAATGGTTGGAGGTTCAAGACTACCAAGAGACCTGTGATCTTCTTCTGAAAGACCAGCCATTGAAACACCCATGTAGTTTTACTCACTGTGAGTCAAAATTGACTCAGTAGCAACTTGGTAAAGATTGAACAGTCTGAACACAACAGGACTATCAGTCTCGAGCCATATGAGTAAGGGAGCTTAATCAGGTATGACACAGGGAAAGGCACTGAAAGCCTGGCTTATTTGTCATCAGGGCCTGGATGATGAATGGCAGCCCATTGACAACCCAACCCTTGCTTTTACCTGGCTGTGCTTGAGCAGATTTAGCAAATTCTAAAAAATAACCATGAGTGTACCTTCCTTGTTATGCCCAGCTTCTTACTTTTAATTGGGCTAAAAATTGGGCCCATTTCCTCCTGCGCGCATATGGAATGGTGTTGCTTAAGAAATCCTTGACCCTGCTGGATTTTACTCAGGAACTCTTCCTTGTAGGAGTAGATAGTGCTCCAGCACCCTGAGACTAGTGTGGCATAGAATAAAGGTGGCCAGCTTTGATGTGGCCTCTCTTATTGTGCAGATAGCCTAGCAGCCTAGAGAGGAGAGCGGCTTTTCTCACAGCTTATGATCTAAGACTGAATGTGCTGGAATACTGTATCTGTTTGTGCACCTCAGATCCATCTGGCGACTCCTTCGTTGTGTCCTCTCTGTGATAAACAGATTAGGATTCAAGATATCATCAAATCCCCCCTGTCAGTTCTGACTACTAGAGACTTTGTAGAGAGCTCTAGTGGCCTAGTGGTAAGAAGCTGCACTGCAATCCCAATGGCATGTGGTTTGCATCCACCGGCTGCTCTTGTGGGAGAATAATGGGCAGTCTCCTCCCATGGGATTTACTGCCTCTGAAAACCTGCTGGAGGGTCAGCTAAGGGTCAGTTCCAACTCAGTGGTGCACAACAACAGTACCTCTGTAGGCCAGTGCAGAAGTGCTTCAATCTCATCTCCAAGGCTGTGAATCTTTCTGGAAGCAGAGTGTCATGTCTTTCCCTATAGAGCTGTTGTTGGGACTGTCGACCTGCCTTGTCTTATACAGCTGAGCACTTTAGCCACTGTCCTTCCTAGGCTGCTTGCAGGATGGTACAAAACTGGTGAAATCTTGATAGAAGAAGAAAAGTTTATTTACAAAACCTTACCAGATTCTAGTTCCCATTTAAGCCTTTCACCCTTAATATTAACCAGTACATCTTAAAACTTGATAGGGGCACTTACCCAATTCTTCTCACAGCTATAAAGTTCTGGTGATGATAAAATTCTTACTTAGGTATACAACTGTCAATAATCATTTTTAAAATTGTATCTGTGTGTATGCAACATAGATTATAGTGTGTTGTGTTTTTAAGCTATAAATTATATTTAATAAGGGACAAAGGGGCTGACAGCACTAAACTTGGTGCTTATTGATATTTTAAGTAATATCTGTGAGAAATATCATATATGTATTATACTACCTTCATATGAAAAACATTTAAAAGTAGTTTAGTTCACTTTGACATTTTTAATATTGTTTTCCTAACACAAGTAAATAAAATGTTCTCCCTAATGAATAAACTCATTAGAATTTACCACTCATTAATATAATTCATTAATTAGTCCCTTAATTAGATCCATTAATTTAAATGTCATTTATGTTTCAGTAAACTTTATAAGGTCCAACTTCATAGTTAATCACCTTTCCTCTGAGGATAATGTACTTGTCCTGAACATGCATTTTACTATCACAGATGCTTCAGAAGGGGCCCAATTCCCAATTTGTTGAGGTTCTTTGATTAACAATGAATCCTTTAGTCATAAGTATCAAAATTCCTTTTAGACAAGTTGATCCTGTTCTCCAAGACATTTAATTTTTCATTACATAAGAAGTAGATGTGAAAATAAATTGGATCTTGGAAAAGTAGCAGATATATTTACATTTGAGATGATTGCCATGTGACTCTAGACTGAGTCACTTAGACCTGGCATTTTGAGTGAAGTCATCTTTTCTACCTAAACGCCTCTGCAGAAACTAGCCCTACCACCAGGTGAGAACTAGGCCTTGGATGAGGTAGGCATCTAGTTACTACACTTTTGATTAATTTCTGCATTCCATGGCTGTGAAAGATGCAATATCACATACAAAATCAGATTTCTCACAATCTAGGTGTATACTTGTATGATATTTTAAAATCTCCTACATGCTAGACAATGGTTACTAATGGTTTTCTTACACTGGCATTCTGAAGAAATGTTGACAGTGCTTATTGTAATATAGACAAAATATTTCACTTACTGATCTGGGCTGAATGTATGTAAATAGGTTTTTTTAAAGTCCGATATTCAAGCAGTGGTCTACATACAAATCAGTAATTTTTAGATAGGAGAGTTTCTTTACATTGCTGTGGAATCCTGAAAGCTCTCTTCATGTAAACTTAGTGTACTAGGCCTGCCAGGATCAGAGGCCCCAAGAGAGAAAATCTTTTCTTGTAGTAATATGAATCAAGAGACCAGACTATGTGAACTCTTATTTCCAGTGTTTCAAGTGGAAAACACAACTCTTTACTGTCTGTAAATCTACTACTTTTCCTCTTAGAAAAAAATATTGTAATTTAGATGTTTGTTAAGCTGGTAACATCCTTGCAACTGCTACAATATCTTCGTTAGTAATCTGTATAATACTTTGTACACAAGTACTGGTAAGGTTGTTATTAAATGTACCTTCAGTCATTAAATTACTATAGCAAAGTAGTACTTCTGTAGTATTTACAATGCATTAAGCCCATTCTATATTTTGTTTCATTGATGTAATGAAACTGTTATTTATTCCAAATGCAAACATCTCTTCATGTTTATTGTCCAGAGTTACCTGGAATAAAATAAAAATTTTAGATTATCTTGAAGTACATAAGAAGTCTTTGAATTATTTATCTTTTACAACTTGATTCAGAGCTTTAAGAATTTAATGTCTGAAATATTTATAATTTGTGAACAGAATGGGCTAATATATTCACTGGTAAAATAAGGAAAGCATGCATATGACACCAATTAAACAATAAAAGAAAAAAGAATATCATCCTTTTTTTAAAACACTATTTTCCACTTCGTAAGTAACATGCCTCTGGAAATTCTGTGAACTTTGAGAAACTACAATAGTTATAGAAAAGCTTCAGGTCTTTTGTTCATAGAGTCACTATGATTTGTGCTTGACTCGATGGCAGTCAACAACAACAACGTTTTATTCCTGAGGCAAATGCCAAATGCCAAAACAAACAAACAAAAACCCAAACACCCAAATGTAATAGTCACAATGTGTAAATTAAATCTGAACTTAGTCAACTCAGTAAAAATTATAAATTTAAATCTTAATTCCTTTTAACCATAGTTTATATAAGGCTATATTTGTTCAAAACCAAAATCTTTTCAATATTTCATAATGAAGGTGAAAAAAAATGAAAAACTACCCCATTACAAGTAAATTTTCACACATTGCCGGTTGAAATAAATTTTATTTGTTTTATTTTTGAAAGTTTCAAAATGTAAAATGAGTATTTTAAATTCATCCTTTATAACTATAATCGGAATCCATC